CAAAATGCGAAAATTCGAAAATGCAGAAGTTCAGAAATTCAGAAATTCAGAAATTCAGAAATGTCAGAAATTCAGAAATTCAGGAATTCAGAAATTCAGAAGTTCAGAAATTCAGAAATGCAGAGAGTCAGAAATTCAGAAATTCGGAAATTCAGAAATTCAGAAATTCAGAAATTCAGAAATTCAGAAATTCAGAAAATCAGAAATCCAGAAATTTAGAAATTCAGAAAATCAGAAATTCAGAAATCAAAGTTCTAAAATTCTAAAATTCTAAAATTCTAAAATTCTAAAAATTCTAAAAATTCTAAAATTCTAAAATTTCAAAACTCTAAAATTCTATAAATTCCAGAAAATTCTAAAACTCTAAAATCCTAAAAATTCTAAAATTCTAGAATTCCAGAAAATTCTAAAATTCCAGAAAATTCTAAAATTCCAAAACTCTGCCTCTACCTACAGTACCCCTATCTGTCTAGCCATCCCGGAATCTCAAAAGATATCTAACCATCCTATCAATCCCCATTCCTTATCACCAGCAACACATCCAAAAGTACGTATCACCTTGTTCCTCTCCCGTTATCACCAAATCCAATTCGCTGTTCAATTTCCAATTTTTCTCGATTCACCCCACAAAACCACCTAGGCATTCTTTTCTGTCTGTCCATTTTGATAAATGTCACTCACCGAAAAGCGACCACCACGTTATCACAATATCACTATCATCATCTCCTGTTCTTGTCTCCCGCGGCGCCCGTGTTCTTCTTATCAGTCAAACTCTTGAACATTCTATCTCTGCGTCTCCCCAAATGTTCAATTTGATTTTTTTCAGCAATTTGGCACGTTTCCAGAACTTTTTGAGCAAAATTTCCAAAATTACATATTCTCAGATTGTTTAAAAATGCAAATAGAGCTTCAAAATCAAGAACAAGACAGATTTTTCGAAATTTTTCATAATCCCGAACTCATGATTTCTAGAGAATCTAGAAAATACAGTGAGTTCCCTTCAAAACGCAGATGAAACCAAGTTTCTGGGATTCTCTTGAGCTGAGTTATGGTCATTTAAAGTTTCTGGGGTGAGAGACGCAGAGAAACAAGACACACTGCGTCTCTGACCTCCAAACTTCAAATGGCTGTAACTCGGCTCAAAATAGCGCTAGAAAGTTGGTTTTGAGTGGATTTTGAAGGGAATGTTTTGAATTTTT